GTTTTTTTTTTTTTTTTTTTTTTTTTTTGTAAGCTTAAATGACCTCTAAGTGCAAGGAATGGCCGGGTTTACTATCCACTGGCAGTGCGGGATTTGAACGCGGATCAGCAAGATTGCTAGACGAGGACGCTACCACTGCACCACACTGCGCACTAGACAGAGTTTCCAGGGATAGGAGGATGGAGTGAGAGGGAGTAGGACAAAATAGGACTGATGATGAAGGGAGAGAGAAAGGAAGAGAGAAAGAGAGAGATGCGTGATGCGAGAGAGTGAGAGAATGAGAGATAGGAAAGTCAGAGAGAGAATTAGAGATAGGAAAGTCAGAGAGAGAATTAGAGATAGAGAGAAAATAAGCGTTGTGAAAGATAGATTAGACAAAGAAACAGGAGAGACAGGGAGAGGATGGGAAATAGGAAAGACACAACCAACTTAGAGAAAGGAGAGGCAGAGAGAGAAATTGAAACAGAAGAGACAGGACAGAATGAGAGAGAGGAGAGACAATATAGAATAAAGGACAGAAAAGATAGTATATAATGAAAGTTAGAAAAAAAGGGGAGAATGAGACAAAAATATACATAAAAAGAGATAAAAAAGACAATATAGAATGATATATAGCAGAGAATGAGAGATATAAATGGCAAGACAGACCAAGAGATTGGAGACAGAGGCAGAGATATAAAGAGAAATGAGATAAAATAATTCCAAATCAATGTTTTTTTTTCTGTCTCTCTATCCCTCTCTCTCTTTCCTTTGTGTAGAGCTCTGTAAAACACAAAAGCGTTTTATAATAAACTATAGTAATATGCTCTGATATTCAACGGTATACAATTGATACTGTTTGTCAGTTTGTCTGCCTGTCTATTTATATTCTTTCTCGGCCTCTCTCTCTCTCTCTCTCTCTCTCTCTCTCTCTCTCTCTCTCTCTCTCTCTCTCTCTCTCTCTCTCTCTCTCTCTCTCTTCTCTCTCTCTCTCTCTCTCTCTCTCTCTCTCTCTCTCTCTCTCTCTCTCTCTCTCTCTCTCTCTCTCTCTCTCTCTATCTCTCTCCGTCCCTCCGTCCCCTCCTCCCTCCCCCCTCTCCTCTCTCTCTCTCTCTCTCTCTCTCTCTCTCTTTCTTTCTCTCTCTCTCTCTCTCTCTCTCTCTCTCTCTCTCTCTCTCTCTCTCTCTCTCTCTCTCTCTCTCTCTCTCTCTCTATCTATCTATCTCTCTCCGTCCCTCCGTCCCTCCCTCCCCCTCTCCTCTCTCTCTCTCTCTCTCTCTCTCTCTCTTTCTTTCTCTCTCTCTCTCTCTCTCTCTCTCTCTCTCTCTCTCTCTCTCTCTCTCTCTCTCTCTCTCTCTCTCTCTCTCTCTCTCTCTCTCTCTCTCTGCGTCTCCATAGCGATGCTCTCAATAAAGTGTAATATACTTCATTGAGTGATCGATGTGACGTGATTTTCCTCGAATGATTAACGAGGGAATTAGTTCGGTATTTCATCAAAGTTCGTCGATGTATCGTTTTTAACGTTATAATTATGAAGTTAATATTGATTTTTGATTTCATGAAGTTGGTATTGACTTTATGAGGCTGATATTCGTTTTATGAGGTTCAATGTTGATTACAGGAATCTGATATTGATTTTACGGAATTAATGAGTTTATGAAGTTAGCATGATATCACAGAATTTATTTTACTGAAGTTAGTATTTATTTCATGAAATTGATATTGTTTTTTTTATGAAGTTAATGTTAATTCTATGAATTTAATGATGACTCTATGATGTTCATTTTGTTTTTGCTTTATTAAAGTCGATTTGTTTAAGTTGTTAATGATTTATTGAAGTTGATATTGATTTGTTGAGGTTGATATTGATTTTTTGAAGTTGATATTGATTTGTTGAGGTTGATATTGATTTTTTGAAGTTGATATTGATTTTTTTAGGTTGATATTGATTTTTTGAAGTTGATATTGATTTGTTGAAGTTAATATCACCTTTATGAAATTAGTATTGATGTCCCGAGAATCCATTTTAGATTCATAATGTACTGAGTTGGGATGCTTGCTATTAATATTCCTTCGTTATGATATTGACGTATCTACATCTACCTGCCAATTTATTCATCTAGTTAGCCTGTTATTTGCTCATTGATTTGTGATTGACAGATAAATTGTTAGGTAAGTAGGTCGGCAGGTAGAAATAAAGATGAACAGAAAAAAATGTAAACGAGAAACTGTGACATCAAAAATTGGTATAAATGTTTTGTGAAAAATATGCACCATATATACCATAATGGACTATAATGTATCATATTACACTAAGGACTATATTTGGAAATAATCTCTCTCTCTCTCTCTCTCTCTCTCTCTCTCTCTCTCTCTCTCTCTCTCTCTCTCTCTCTCTCTCTCTCTCTCTCTCTCTCTCTCTCTCTCTTCTCTCTCTCTCTCTCTCTCTTCTCTTCTCTTCTGTCTTTCTCTCTCTCTGTCGCTCTTTCTCTCTCTCTTTTTCTCTCTTTCTCTCTTTCTCTTTCTCTCTCTATCTCACTCTCTCTCTCCGTAAAACGCTATAAATGTCTCAATACATGTACTGGTGGATAACAATGATAGATTGATACGACCTGACTCTCTATTGATGAAACAAGTAATGAGCATACGATGATCGGGAGAGCAAGACCGAGCGCGATGTGTCGGCCAGCGGCGGGCGTGGGAGGTCTTGGCGAAAATGAGGCGAGGTTATCCTATGTCGAATAAGGTCGACCTTGATTTCCATCTCGGTATTCCGGTAGGGATACCAAGCTATGTGGAGCCTGATTTAGCTTGGGGTGGTATGGCTGGCATTTTGTGCTTATATGCTTATTGACCAGCCATACTCACTCTCTCTTTCATTCTCTCTATTCTGCCTGTCTGTCTGTCTGTCTCTCTCTCTCTCTCTCTCTGTCTGTCTGTCTGTCTCTCTCTCTCTCTCTCTTTCTCTCTCTCTCTCTCTCTCTCTCTCTCTCTCTCTCTCTCTTTCTCTCTCTCTCTCTCTCTCTCTCTCTCTCTCTCTCTCTCTCTCTCTATATATATATATATATATATATATATATATATATATATATATATATATATATATATATATATGTATATGTATACGTGTGTGTGTGTGTGTGTGTGTGTGTGTGTGTGTGTGTGTGTGTGTGTGTGTGTGTGTGTATATATATATATATATATATATATATATATATATATATATATATATATATATATATATATATATATATATATTTATATATATATATATATATATATATATATATATATATATATATATATATATATATATATATATATATATATCTTCCCATACACTCTCTTTCACTCATTTCCGGCTGGCGGATTTGTTTGGTCTTTCACAAGATTTAATATAAATATAAGACTTGATTATCAGAATATTAAAGAAGACATATCGATAGTGAAGATTGGGTCGTTATATTTATTTATAAATCATGTCAACCGAGGCGGTAATCAAATACATACGTATATAATGTACATGTGCACAGCATATAACATACACACATGAGTACGGTACATAACTTACATAACATACGTATATATCGTGCACACGTAACATATACATAACATACACAAATAGCATATGTTCATAACATACGCAAATGACATACATACCTACCATATACACATAACATAGGTACATAACATACTAACACAACATACATACATACCATACACACGCAACATACGTACATAACATACAACAGCTCAGCAACGCTTTCTGACTTCCATTCCCAGTTCCCGGATCCCATTCCCATTCCTGGTTCCCTTTTCCTCTCGCTGCCTCCAGTC